AGCCTACAGTTCTAGTGCTTTTCCTCTCACACACAACAAGGAGTGCAGGTTGACCATATAACAAGGAAGATTTTGGTCTTATAATAGCTAGAACTGAATGCGGAAAGTATGGAAAAACATCTCGTAATTGCTGACTATTATTAGTGAACGTTCCTGTTAATAATAGTTCATTGTTGAGCACTTGAGCCTCTATTATAATACTGAAGTAATGAACAAGGATATATGTCAAGTAAATCAATAGGTAACAAAAAAGTACTTTATCAAACTTCTTACATGAATAAAAATTCCAAGAATTCAAAATCCATTGAACAATCTGCAGAAACATGTTTATAATTTACTCAAAGTCATTGGTTGAAGTCCTAAAGCACTGCCCTACATCCATATAACAACACTTCAATTGGATTTCAATTCAATTGGATATTAAATGAATACATGAAATAAATATATTTATTGAATTAAATGATTTGGACAATAAATTCACATTTTATATACGTAGTATATAAAAAGGAAATTCTATAGGTATGAAAATGAAAATGAATACACAGAAATATATATGACAAATGGCTACACATAAATGAAAATGAAATTAATTGGAATTGAACGGTAGAGGTAGACGTAGAGATGCCTGAATGTTACCAGCTTGTAGTTTAATGAAAAGGAAACGAGACTTGAAAAGAAACCTGCTTCTGAAAAATAAAGTGAGTTTTATAGTCACTACCATGTAAGTATGTAACATTTGAATACAATTCTAGTCACTAAAGTTATCAGAGTCACATTTTTCTCCACTACTTACTTCCCCCGTCCCAAAAAATTATTCCAACTTTCCTTTTTGGGTCGTCCCAAAAAATTCTTCACACTTACTAAAAAAGGAAAGAAACACATAATGAAAACCCATTTTTTCCCTTCTTTTTTTAATCTGCGTGTCTCTCTCATTTACCCCATCTGCACCCTTTATTCCATCCGTCTCCCCCTTTGTAATCCATCTACCCTCACCCTTCCGCCTCCCCCTCTCTCACAATCTTCATTATTGACCTCACATATATGAAGCGAACGATTTGGATCTAAACCCTAGCTCCATAACTTACCCCTTCAACTGCAGACCCTGCATCGAACCTCCATTGAACCTGCATGGATCCATACTCCTTGGAAGATGATGACCCGCTGATCATTCCAGATAGTGAAGAAGATCTTGCAGAGGATGATTGCGATTATCTGACAGAGGTTATGGCAGAGAAGAGTGAAGAGGTTTTTATCCCTGACAGTGAAGAGGCAATTGTCCCTAAAACTGAAGAAGTTATTGTCCCTGACGATCTGGTGACAATGGGGATTCCAGAGGCGTGCGAGACAGTGGACCCTAAACTGCTTAAAAGCCGCACAGAGAGCGGGATGCACCCTATTCGAAGAAGTCCTCGGCTAGAAGAGTTGCTAAAACTAATTATACCAAAATAGGAAACTAGGATGTGGGACGTCGACACGGATTATGGGAGTTTCTTGCTTACCCTATCTTGATTTATGGTTTAATTCGTATTTTGTGTCCTAAGTGTCTGCTTGGCCTGCTTTGTCTCAAATTTATGTGTCCTAAATGTATTTTTTTGGGGGAAGCAATGATGAAAAAATGGTTAATATGATGTTTAGTGTGATGCATGTGGTTTGTAAATGGTTGTTTGGTTTGAGTATTGGTAGTTAATGCATAGTGTGATGACCATTTGGACTGACTATTGGTTCTTTATGCATATTGTGATGAAAGTATCCCTTCTAGGTACCGGTTCTTTATGCATATTGTGATGAAAGTAGGAGGTTTGTGTACTGGTTCTTTATGCATACTGTGATGAAAGTATTAGGTCTGTGTACTCGTAGTTTATGCATACTGTGATGACCATAATGCCTAAGAAATGGTAGTTTAGTCATACTGCGATGACCATAATGTATGCGTTCAATTTGTTTGGCATATTGTGATGACCATAAGGTCTGAGAAAATGTTGTTTATGCATACTGTGATTAAAGTATCTTGAGAATGGTTTTTTTTTCTACATATAAGGTCTGAGTATGCTTCTACTTGTACAACAATGATGGGATGAGTATGACCATAAGGTTTGAGTATGCTTCTACTAGTACAAAAGGTCTACTTATGCTTCTACTAATACTAAATGTGTGACTATGTTTCTACCAATACAAAAGGGCTGCATATGCTTCTATCCATAAAACTTAAGGCCTACACAAAAACACAAAAATTAAAGGCATATACAGTTCAACGCAATATTCTAAAACAAAACCTCAAAACCCTAAACACTCTAGTAGATGTACTTCATAACTGAACATGGTCATCATCATCATCTTCAAACATGAAGTGTCGCTGAATTTCCTCAATGGTGTCATTACCCAGCCCTGCTTGTTACCCTATAATATGTTCCATGGCTTCCAAAAGTCCCACATCTACCTCTATGGTAATTGGAAGCCCCCTTCTGTGATCATCCTATTCTTTGCATGGTGTGGTAGCTTGCAGTTGTTCCCTCCTTCCACTTTCATTATTTCTAGCATTACATACTGACAACTTCACCACACTTTGTTGAGAGTCATAGGTGATAGCTGGTAGAATGCATCATCAACTGCCTTTCATAATTCATCAACTGTGTTGGGTGCATTTTGGTCTTCCAAAGATTGTATTGCTCTAAAAAACTAGGTCTAGTATGTTAAGGTCTGGAGAATTGGGTGGCTGGATAATAAGGCTAATATTAAACCCATCAGCCATGGATGCAGCCATATAATCTGCATCAGATTGTGAAATGTGTAGTCTTGCATTGTTTTGTTGTATTATGATGTCTTTGTTTAACTGTTGTGGTCATTTTTCCTTGATTGGTGGTAAGACTGTATTGATTAACATGTCATTGAACACTTGCTTTGTGATGCTAAGTATAGGCTTTGTTTCCATTACACCCGCATCTCTATTTTTGCTTCTTCTTTTTGCTACAACCTTTTCAACAAATGGAAACATGCCTATTTTTCCATGCCAAATCACTTCACCACTTTATGAAAATAGGGGCCTACCTACTGCTCCTAGGGACATAACCTTAGTTATGAACCTCTTTGACTTGCAAACTCTGTGTGGATCGGTCTCTTCCAAACCCATGTAAAAGCGTTGAGAAGTTTTTGACATGAAAAACCATTTTTCATCAATTTGAATCGGATTTTTAAAGCTTTGAAAACTTGGCTTACATGGCATTGATTTGCCAACCTGCCAAAGACAGAAGTTCAGTCTTTCCACTTTATTTGCATCAATTAAGAAAGGCGTTATTGCATTTGTATGACTTCTAAGCTCACCTCTATGACCCAATCCGTGGATAGTTGACTTTGATATTGAACTAACAGATGCTAATGCCCTTATGTTAGTCCTTTTGTACTGCAGGATCTCTGATATGTGGGATAGATCAAATTCAATCCTTTTCGTGTTGGGGGCTGAAGAGAAATGATCTTTTAATTTGGTCAACACTTAAAGAAGAAGAAGAAATATGATTACTTTGGTCAACGATTAAAGAAGAAGAAATATGATTACCGTAAATGAAGAAACCGAGAAAGAAAAAAAGACGGAAGAAGGAACCACACAATTGAAGTTTTACTTGATTTTTTTTTAAATTTACAAAGTAATCCACATAAGCATATAACCGGTTGATCAACTTTTATTAGTAGTCATGGTCAAATGACTCTTATATTTTAGTACAAAGGCCTATGTAATGTTTTGAATTAGTATAAGAGAGGATTTGCCTTTTTTTTATTTATTTAGTTGTCACACTAACTTCGTGACTATCTTTATATTGCACTCAATTAAAGATCTATGAAAGAAGACAAGAAAATTGATGGATAGTGAGAAGTGGGAGCAAGAGAGATAGATTGATTATGCGAAAAAGGAAAGAAGGAAAGAAGAAAAGAAGAATAAAGAAATTGAAATGTACATTGAAGGAATAAGAAAAAAAAATCTAGCAATGACACTAAAAAGGGAAGTAGCAAAAGATAGATCGATGATAGTAAGAAGAAAAAGGAAAATTTTATTAACTTTGACAACAATATTTAAAAAATATCGTCGCCTTTATCATGAGCTGCATGCACTCATACTTTATCATAGTATCGTGTAAGCGCATATGATAATGATGCATGTATTGTACGTAAAGATCATGTGCTCATAATATTGTGAAATACTACACCCGTTTAGGGAAATAAACTTATGATATACACATTGAAGCCGTTTTTCCCAATTTAATCACATTCAAATCACATTCACGTACAATATAAGATAAATATAGAAATACTTGAAATTGCTAATATTTGAACTAGTGAGCCAGATTTATAAGGTTGGTGACCACTCACCTTCAAGTCTCTCATTAGTGAAAGATTGTGGATTTAATTCCCACTTAAGGGAGATGAGAGCTGGCTTGCTCCCCATCTTAAGGTAGCCGCTTGGAAGGGACAAATGAGGTAAGTTTGACTATAAAAAAGAACATTATATTCAAAATGAAATTGATACAAGACTCCAATGTTATTCAAATGTGAAGCCAAGTACTTTCTAGTTATATTTCAAGTCTAAACTTTAACATATTACCATGCTCATGAATTATCGGTAGTATTGTTATTTTATAAATGAACCTTAAGAATTTTTTTGAATATTTTTTGTAAATTAGCCGTTGTAATTTAATTATTTGCAAATATACTGTCATATTTGTATAGACGTATGCCATGTTTTTCAAACTTACACTCGCATCTATATCAACATATTTCCGTGTTTGTATCAATGAAACAGACATATGGAAATGGTTCAACGTACTCCGTATAATTTAGCGTAAATTTCCCTGATGTATACTTTTTCACATGCTTCTTTCCGATGTATCTAAAAAAATATTTTTTTTATATGTATTACACTTTTATCCAATAATCTGATACCAATGTTCACTGCCAGTACTATACTATAACTATACCATTTGAACCGGATATTTTTTTGTTCGCTTTTCCCTATTGCATTTGACAAAAAAGGAGGGCTGGAAGTCTGGAACTGGTCAAGTATATTTTGAGTCTTTTGTCGAGATTCCAATAACTTTGAGGGAAGCAGACATTTTCTCTGTAGGGGGCGTCGCTTTTGGAGTGTGGAATTATTAATATTAATACTAATATTAATATTAGTATTATTATCTGATGATGGAACCAGTTTTGCTTGCGCGCTATGTGTGTTTGTCTTGTCTGCTACTCTCTTCCTAATGAGGTCGGAAGGTCAGTCAAGATTCCATCGAGGCAGGTGATCTCCCATCTACCCAAGTAACTCAACCCCTTCACTCTACACAGCTCATCTCTTCTCTTTGTCAAGAACATATTTTTTTAGCTGGGTTTATCGCTGGAAGTGGTAAAGCAAGGATTTTTACCTCTCATCTTTGGTGGGTTCTGTCGATTCTTGATGGGTTTCCAGTTCTTTGGCTGATTTACTGCTCTTTTTGGACGAAAGCTGAAGAATAGCTGGAAAAATTTGAGATTTGAGATGAAGAGGAATAAGGCTGCGGCTTTGAGGGGATATTATGTTATCTTAGTCTGGTGTTAGGGTTTTGTGAAAGATGGGAATGGAGTGTTGGGATGATGTGGGGAAATGTAAGGAAAGGAAGGATAAAGTGGTTGAGGACACTGGTTGCTGGATTAAACTCAGGTTTATTGGTAGTTGTATCTCTTCAAGATCTAAAGTTGATAACTCCATTAGTAGAATCAGCGCTCGCTGTGGTATTTCACTCCCCCTTTTTACAAATAATCTTTTTTTGCTTGTCTTCGTCTGGTTCTGGATAGTCTAGTTTACACGTTTATCTTTGAGGTTAGTGGGAGTTTTAGTAGTTCCATCTTCAAGAAGATTTGTTTATTCCTACTCATCTGGAACTGTATACTTTTACCGTTAATTCCTTGTTCCAATTTTGAAAGTGGATAAATTTTACTTTTTGATTTTTTTCATGTCCCACCAGCCTATCACTTTTCCAGCATAAGTTTATCTTGAATTTCGATTGGTAGTATTTTGAAGCTGTTTAGCTTGTAGGATGTGTTTGGAAGCCAAAGTGACTTATTTGCTTATAATTAGCTTTTAACATACGAAGTACTTATTTCGCTGAGAGGGATGTTATCAAATGCTTTTCTTTTGAGAAAATTTAACATATTCAGTCATTTCATCCAACTGACTCTTGCAAATAGACTTGTAGTGTCATTAAAAATGTTTGATCTTTACTTGGCCTCTATTGTAACATCTAAATCAAACTAGATTTTTGTTAGTCCTCAATTTAATCAATTTCTGCATTGTGTTCGTAAGCAGAAAGTAAATCGACAAATGATACGAGCATAGGACAGGCGATAGCTCCTGTTATATCATCAACTACTACAAGTAATGCAGAAAGCAGTTCTTCAACTTCCAAACTTGAAGAAGAACTTAAAGTCTCTTCTTTGCTTCGCAAGTTTTCATTTAACGATTTGAAGTTAGCCACGAGAAATTTCAGACCAGAATCTCTTCTTGGAGAAGGGGGTTTCGGATGTGTTTTCAAGGGTTGGATTGAAGAGAATGGAACCGGACCAGTTAAACCGGGGACGGGACTTACTGTTGCTGTGAAAACTCTGAATCATGATGGGCTTCAGGGTCACAAAGAGTGGCTGGTATGCTTCTTAAATCTCTCAAGGGCCATTTGGAACTTGGAAAATGCCAAGGAAAGAAAATATGTAGGAAAATAGGAAGGAAATTAGGAACGAAAAAGAAACTGTGCATGTGGGGGATGCTAAAAAATGCTAGTTCAAAGTCAATACATCAAGTTTAGATATTTGTTCACTCTTTCTAATAAATATTCTTAGGTATAACTAAACATAAAAAATTACTAAAATTGTTTCTATTTTCTTAGGTATAACTAAACATAAAAAATTCCGTAGTGTTTCTTTTTCCTTTTCCATAGCAATATCTGAGTTCCAAATGTATCTTTAAAGTTATTTCTCTTTTGGTGATTTATATGTCTTCTGCTTTATAATATTTTGGGTGACTCTTACTATCACGGGTTTTGTTTGGCAGGCAGAAGTGAGTTTTCTTGGTGACCTAATTCATCCTAATTTAGTGAAACTGATTGGTTATTGCATTGAAGATGATCAGAGGCTTCTAGTTTATGAATTCATGCCTCGTGGAAGCCTTGAGAACCACCTCTTTAGGAGTATGTACCTAACCCTCATATATAAATGTTCCACTTAATTACAATCATGCCACCACTTTTATTTCTTCATTTTTTTCCCGATCTTTGAGCGCTTATATCTAAAATCTGATGGACCCTATTGTTTACTCCTTCCTCCCTGGGATGAGTTTTGCATAAGTTGCCCCCCTTGCACAAATGAAAATATTTAAAAGTTCCCATCCACTAGATTGTTTAAGATAAAACCAAAACCACATGTTCATCTACTTGCTGGTTATATATGCCATAGATTTCTAAGTTTAGAAGAAGTGCTAGATGAATAAATACTATGTTCCCTCCATTCCATATTAATTGTTTCTTTATCCAAAGTCATGCCGCTTTTGGAATTTAATCTATATTTTCTACTAATACTAATATTGAGTATTCCTAATTAGTCATATCAACTCTTCCTTCATTAAATGTTTTTTTAAGTGGAAAAGAAAGATAATGCATTTAACATCAAAATTATGCAAGGCTAGAAGGGCCTTTCTTTAAGGTTGTTAGTATGACTGCAATTCTCTAAAATGTCAATTATTACCACACAGAGGGTGCATTGTTTTATGTAACAAGAAATTGAAAGAAAACTGGTCATTGAAAAGTCAAGGAACAATGATGAATATACGACTAAATTAATGGGGAAATGTGTCTTTTAATACACATTGATCACAATCGTACTTTCTCAATGACAGCAGTGATTATGGTGATGTTCAATTTTACACGCTAATAACCATAGTGGTATTATCACAATGACTATAGTGAACAAGTGGTCATATCTTTGTCCATGACTTGTGTTTTTGTAATATTTTAGGGGAAACCCCCAATGTGGAATTTGTAAACCATTTATGTTATTGATCTAATGCATGCAGGGTCTCTACCACTTCCATGGTCTATCAGGATGAAGATTGCTCTTGGTGCTGCTAAAGGTCTTGCATTCCTTCATGAGGAAGCACAACGTCCCGTCATATATAGGGATTTTAAAACATCCAACATCTTGTTAGATTCTGTATGTGATTGATATCTTACACACTCAATTATTGAAGTTCATTCATATTTTTCAATTGTTTCTGATAAGACTATTCTTCAGGATTACAACGCCAAGCTTTCGGATTTTGGACTTGCCAAAGATGGACCGGAGGGCGATAAGACACACGTCTCTACTCGTGTCATGGGGACATATGGTTATGCTGCTCCTGAATATGTAATGACAGGTATACCTTTATCTATTTACCCAGAACCAATAATATAATGCCCCGATATGAGAGATTTCGATAGGAAACGGTCCAAATGGGTCAAAAGTGGAGTCTTTCACAGTTTCATGTTTGGTTTGAGTCATACCACATATTGACATCCAGTAGGCAATGTAACATAACCTTGTTTGGTTTTTTAATCATATTACCTCACCAGTCACCACAACATTGGCTATTTAACATTATCATCTTGTTTGGATATTTAACTAAAAGATAATTACCTCCATTTTCTTAGGTATTGTATGATTATCATTGATGAAGTACTTTAGATCCTGTTTGGTTCAGGCTACTAATTGGGCTCTTAGATTATTTCAACGTTAGTCTTTGACAATACATTTAGGAGTTAGGACCCATGGTTAAAATGTATAATTGCTGGTTCGGCAACAGTTTTTAAAGGATAATTTCGTAACAACCATTCAGCCTAATGAGTAAAGTAAAAAACTATCAGGTTATTTAACAAAGCCATGTTGCCTATTTGAACTAAAATGGTTGGAGTAGTTGAAGTCCTTGAAATGATTGAGATTTTTTGTATTACATAAAAAATGTAGTTTTAAACTATTTTTATTTGATTTAAAAAGATAATATTGGAATTTTCATCGGTAATACTAAAATATAGCTTATGAATAAAAATGTGACTAAAGTTACTACTTTTACAGTAACTACGATGTAAGAATTGAACATAACCATAGTAATTAAAAGTGACAGTCACATTTTTATCATTTATCCTCATTTCGGTCATATATTAGGTATTATTTCATTTCCTCCCATTTCAGCCAGTCTGAGAACCCCTCCCCCCCACTATATTTTCTTTTCATTATTTAGCAAGTACACTGAAATAAGTCAAGAGTTCAGTTAAAGAACTGGACGATAAGACATTTCCTAAACATGGATATGTTGAACAATGTTTGTTGCTCCAACTAAATCGTAATATATCTCATTCAGTATTTTTTGTCCTCAGGACATTTAACATCAAAGAGTGATGTCTACAGCTTTGGTGTGGTGCTTCTTGAGATGATTACTGGCAGAAGATCAATGGACAAGAACCGTCCCAACGGGGAGCACAACCTGGTTGAATGGGCACGGCCCCACATTGGTGATCGGCGGAGATTCTATAGGTTGGTAGACCCTAGGCTCGAAGGGCACTTTTCCATAAAAGGTGCACAGAAAACTGCACAGTTGGCAGCCCAGTGTCTAAGTCGGGACCCGAAATCCCGACCCATGATGAGTGAAGTTGTGGAATTATTAAAGCCTTTGCCAAACCTAAATGACATGGCTAGCTCCTCCTATTATTTCCAGACCATGCAAATTGACAGGGCCGTGTCCAGCCCGAATGCAAAAAGTGGGCACAGAACTCAGGCCCACCACCTGTTTGCAAAGCCAAGGAGCCTTTCTATACCAAATGGATCTCATGCTTCTCCTTTTCATCATCACCAGTTTCTGCATAATTCACCAAAACCTCATGGCAAAGTGTAGGATTGGTTTGAATGTTTGGTTTTCTTCAATTCTTTTTATCCATATTAAGAAGATGCATTTTGTTTGCCAGGATGGCAAATGAAGAAAATCAGTTTTTATATATAAAAGAGCTGCTTGGACTGTGAGAACTCTCCATGGAAATGAATGTAATGTAAGAATGGGAAAATTTCATGTGATGGGGGTAAATATTTTGCAGTTTAATCAGTTAATGTGTCAGCTCTCCCACTCTTACCGTTGAGAAACTTATATTGACAGAAAAGAACAAATTAAACCATGTAAACCTCCGAACAATTGAACAACTAGGCTGATTGAGACGCTTAAAATGTAAGAGATATTCAAAACAATTACCCAGCAAGAACAAAATCAGTCGGATGCAATAATGCATTATGCTAAGAAATTGCTTTTAGTACGACGTTCAAATTAAAGGAAAATGAAAACCCCAAGCAACTAGTTGAAAATCTCCAAAAATGCATCACTATTCACTAGAACTAAAACTAAAAATGTGTTCACTATTCTAAAATGAACATGCAAATTATTATAAACTAAACATCATCATATATATCCCGCTGGGATTTTGCTCCTCTCCGTTAACTGGAAATGTCCAGTAGGAGAGAGAGAAGTGGGGAAATGGTGGGATAGGGAAAAAGAAAAGATTATGTTTAATTATTATTTTTAAGGAGAGATAGAGTGAAAAAGAAATGGAGAGTAAATGGAGAGAAGAAAATGAAGAGGAGTATGACTGTATGACCCATCCCGCTGCATGTCATCAACCATCTTAGAGAAGTGGATTAAGCACGGTGCCACGAACTGAACGAAGACAACAAGTCCGGACACATCCTCCTGAATGAAGAAGGCGAAGGGATGATCTGCTACAAAGTCTATTTTCATTTTTCTCTTCCTCAAACGAACGCCAATCACATTCAAGTTCACTATGCACCGAATCATCTACAACAGCTTTTGTTCCTTTCTCATTGTGAAAGACATTAGAATATACTTAAGAATATACTTTATAATATGATTTAGAATATTCTTCTATCTTTAGAATATTCTTTAGAATATTTTAGGAATATACTCTAGGATATTATTGTATAGAATCTTACAGAATATTCTATCTTTGTAATGTGTATATATATAAGGACTTAACCCTCCAATGAAATACACAGAAAATTCCTTTCTCCTCTCTCCATTATTACTATCATTATTATTATTCTAGTTTATATTTCAACATGGTATCAGAGACATCCATTTGAGTTTATTTTTCAGATTTCAGCTTAGTTTTCAGACTCTGTTCTTTCTCTGAGAGCCTGAGTTCAGAACCTCTAGCTACCATTTTGTCTCCGAGAAACTCAGTCCAGGACAGAACCTCTCTACACACCATCACCATTAAACAGAACCTCTATTCAGAACCTTAGTTCAAGCAAATTCAGAACCTCAGTATCAAGCAAACTGCACCATTCAGAATCTGCCAGGTGCCCAGGTCCGACCATCTTCCCGGCGAATTTCTAACTACACCATCCCTGTCGCCTCTGACCCGGCGTTGGAAGTTCGCAGCTGCAAGTCGACGTCCATCAGCCACACGACCTCCAGAAGCACTCACTACAACAGGTATTTGATCGGAACTCTTCACAAAACCTCAAAGCCATCTGTTTGTACACGTTACTTCCAGGTATTCTTCTCTCGTTCTTTCTCAAGCAAGAGACGGAATCCGACAGATATCTTTGTGGGATGGAGGAAGTCTTGTCGGTCGCTAGTATCTAGCATCAGATATCTATGGATATCCTCCCCTTCGACTGAGATTGTATCTATTTAGCGCATCCGTTTTCTTCCCCAATCCAAGGATGAAACTTGAAGAGTCCGTAGCAGTAAAGCCCAATTGATTGGTTATTTTATTAAAGTTTTTTTGAGCTCAAAAACGAGAAGGCTGCTGTAAGTGTCCATTGCTATCTAAGTTTTGAAATTCATTCCCCAAAAAAATCAAAAAACAAAACAAAACAAAACAAAAAAACAAAAATATCTTGTATGGGTCCACGTGGCAGAGGAGTAATATGCAATTACTGCAAGAAGCCCGGGCACTTGATCAAAGAATGTAGGAAATTGCTACTCAAGAATCAAGAAAATCAGCTTGGTCATGTTGCTTCCGCTACCAGTTCATCTGATGGATCAATTGCTGTTTCTTCAGACGAGTATGCCAAATTTATTTCCTACCAAGAACTTCTAAAGCATTCATTTGTCCCTATCTCGGTAGTCGCTAATTCAGGTATTTCAAACACATGTCTTGTTTCCTCATCCTCGAAATGGGTCATTGACTCGGGTACCACCGATCATATGACTGGTAATCCTAATCTATTCTCATCATTTCATTCGTATTTACCTACTTCTAGTGTCACTTTAGCTGATGGATCTACCTCACCTATTCTTGGATCTGGTACTGTTATCCCAACTTCTACACTACCATTATCACATGTTTTGAGTCTTCCTAATTTTGCATTTAATTTGCTTTCCATCATCAGAATCACGCGTACTCTTAATTGTTCTGTAACATTTTTTCTGGATATTGTGTGTTTCAGGATCTGTTAACGAAGCAGACTATTGGTAAAGGACATGAGTCAGCTGGTCTTTATATTTTGGATACATCAATCACAAAAGATATCTCTTGTCTTGAGGTCAGGACTTTGTTAGAGGCTCATTACCAATTAGGACATCCATCTCTCCCATTAATGAAGCAAATAAATCCCCAATTCAATAAGATGACCTCTTTACAATGTGAGTCATGTCAATTTGCGAAACACCATCGTACTAGGTTAAGCCCTCGAATTAATAAACGAGCAAATGCTCCATTTGACCTTGTTCACTCTGATGTTTGGGGTGCTTGCCTGGTTGTGTCTAAAGGTGGTTTTAAATATTTTGTTACCTTTGTTGATGACTATTCTCGTATGACATGGTTGTATTTCATGAAACGTCGATCTGAGTTGTTCCCTCATTTTTCTTCCTTTTGTGCTGAAATTAAAACTCAGTTTAACGTTCCTGTTCGGGTGTTAAGAGGAGACAATGCCCAAGAATATCTATCTGTTACATTTAAGTCATTTATGCTTCAGCATGGTATTATTCATCAAACTTCATGCGTTGACACACCTCCTCAAAATGGGGTTGCAGAACGAAAGAACCGACATCTGTAAGAAATTGCAAGGGCTCTTCTATTCCAAATGAATGTGCCTAAACAGTTTTGGGCCGATGTCGTGTCTACTGCATGTTTTTTTTATAAATCGTATGCCATCTTCTGTTTTGAAAGGTAAATCTCCTTATCATTGTCTATTTCCAAACAAAGAGCTTTTTCCTATCCCACCTAAAATATTTGGTTGCACTTGTTTTGTTAGAGATGTTAATCCTCATCTTACAAAGCTAGATCTCAAATCATTAAAATGTATTTTCTTGGGTTATTCTCGAGTCCAAAAGGGGTATAGATGTTTTTTTCCGAGTACAGGTCAGTATCTTGTTTCTATTGATGCATCATTTCATTAAAATACACCTTTTCATCATCTAAGACAGATATTCATGAGAATAATGATGATATACTCATTTACACGATGACTATTCCCGAGTCCACACTTTTGACAAGTATTCCACAAGTTACTGTTCTTGACCCTAGGCCTCTTGTACACTTGGTATACACCCGTCGACACAAAACACCTGATCACCCTCCATCGGCGACACTTGTGATTATTTATCCTGATACTAGTCCGACTTCGATCTCATGTCCTGAACCAGTACCTGCATCATCAGATCTGGTCTCTACATTAGATCTTGACCTCCCAATAGCACTATGTAAAGGTACACGGTCTTGTACTCATCCTATTTCTTCATTTATGTCGTATAGTCAGTTGTCTCCTGCCTCATGTTCTTTTATTGCTTCCATTGATTCTATTTCTGTTCCCAAATCTATTAAAAAGGCTTTGTCTCATCCTGAATGGCGTCATGCCATGATAGAGTAAATGAATGCTTTGAATCTTAATGGTACTTGGGATTTGGTAGACTGCCTACAGGGAAAAAGTCTATTGGATGTAAGTGGGTCTTTGTTGTTAAGGTTAACCCAGACGGATCTGTTGCTCGGTTGAAAGCGCGATTAGTTGCGAAGGGTTATGCTCAAACATATGGTGTTGATTATTTTGACACTTTTTCTCCGGTTGCTAAATTAACATCTGTCAGGTTACTTATTTCTCTCGCTGCAACTCATGGTTGGCACTTACATCAGTTGGACATTAAGAATGCATTCCTGCACGGTGATCTTCAGGAGGAAGTTCATATTGAGCAACCTCCGGGGTTTGTTGCTCAGGGGGAGTATGGAAAAGTCTGTCGACTTCGCAAGTCTCTTTATGGTTTGAAACAGAGTCCCCGTGCATGGTTCGAGAAATTCAGTCAATCAATTGAACGGTTTGGAATGATCAAAGGAAAATCGGATCCCTCTGTATTTTACAGACGAACAAAAGCAGATATCACATTGCTTGTGGTGTATGTTGATGATATTGTGAATACAGGGAGTGATAATGCAGGTATTTTGGCCCTCAAGAATTTTCTTCATAGTCACTTCCAGACGATAGATTTGGGCTCATTGAAATACTTCTTGGGGATTGAGGTTACACGGAGTAAGAAAGACATATTTCTATCTCAACGTAAATATGTGCTTGACTTGCTAACTGAAACAGGGAAATTAGGGGCAAAACCGAGCAATACTCCCATGATTCCTAATGTGCAGCTCACTCATGAAGGGATGTCATTTGAAGATCCGGAAAGATATAGAAGATTGGTTGGAAAGCTTAATTATCTCGCAGTTACCCATCAAGATATTGCGTACTCGGTGAGTGTAGTAACTCAATATATGTCATCTCCAACAATTGATCATTGGAATGTTGTAGAGAAAAATTAGGTTACTTGAAGGAGACACCAGGATGAGGTATTGTTTATCAAAATCATAATCACATGAGAATAGAATGTTTTGCAGATGCTGATTGGGCTGGATCTAAAGATGATAGAAGATCCACATCTGGCTATTGCGTCTTTGTTGGTGGTAATTTCGTCTCTTGGAAAAGTAAGAAGCAGAATGTGGTTTCTCGTTCGAGTGTTGAATCAAAATATCGGGCTATGGCACAATCGGATTGAAGACACCAATGTCTGCTAAACTCTGGTGTGATAACCAAGCTGCTATACAAATTGCCAACAACC